GTAAATTCCAAGAAAAGACAAGATGTGTATCCTTAGTGACTATAAAATGTCTCGATGATGCTCCTTGTCTCGTCTGTCACATGGAAGCTCCTTTGCAGGAATCCAGTCTCTCATTTTAGTCACAAATGACTATGTGGCTTAGGCAGTATAGGTTGAGAAGGACCAAAGAGGCATGAAGTTTAAGACAATATGCAGATGTTTTCAGACCTCAAAAAGGAAAAGGGAAGAGGAAAAAGAAAAAGCCCAAACCTCCAGCTACTTCCCTCTTCATGTCTTGTAATTGTTTTCCATTTGTTTTTCTCAGTAAAATTGTTTATTTTTTCCTCTAGGACTCCAGTTGCATAACTGTGAATTTCCTTAATGTCTTTGCATAGCAATTTCATCCTTACTTTAAGAATCCAAATAAACCTTGTTTTCTTTCCCATACTATTAAGGAAAGGATAAAAACGGACATAGTCCTCAATAAACTGTATCAATTTGTCACTGTGTGCAATGTAATATATATATAGCCTGGCTGCTGCCTCACTGAAACTTAATCTCATTTTCACACAGGTGTAATTTAACTGTATCCAGTAGTATTATTCCTGGCATCCTTCACTGTTGTTATGTCAGAAAAAGACTTGTTCTCCCCCATTTCGAGGTAGTATTAGCTAAACTTCAGCACAGCTATTGATCTGAGTAAGCATTTGCTTGATCTGAGTAAGCATTTGCTTGAGCTAAGCCTGTGAGTTATGACAGAAGGGCACATCAGAGATTTGTGTTGATGGATGAATAGTTCCATGAGGGCTCAAAAGATTCTTAAATGTGTGTACCTGGGGAGCATCAGGTGGTGTGGCGCCATGGGTGTGACTGCAGCAAACAGCTACCAGAAAGCAATACTGATGTCAGACCCCACTATGAAGTCAGCAGTGATCACAGGCAATCTTTTGTGCATATTGTACATCTGCAGACCATATTGGGTTTACTTGAATTAGCCCTTAAACTAGGCAGCTTAGTTACTAATGGCTGTAGAACCCAATAGCTCAGTGTGGACTTGCGATCTAAGCACTTGCTCCCTCCCTTTGGCCTCCATGCTACGCTGCAAAAGCTGCACTGATAGCAGTTACCTGATAAAGCTAGTATAGAAGTAACCTGGGTATGTCTAGACACAATGTCTACATGCCATCTCAATCAATTCCATTTTCATTATGGTACAGTATGAGTTATGATAGCAGCAAAACCTAATTTGAGCTACAGCTGAAGAGGGTTAGGGGGAGGTGATATTCTGGTTTAACATACAATCCTCTGGAGAAAAGAGTTCAGATCTGTCTTAGGTTATATAACAGAAATGAGGTTAGCAGATTTGGTCTAATCCCTTGTGGACAGGCCCACCACAGAGCGTGGAATAATGTGGATAACTGTCTGTCTGCCTGCTTGCTGACAGCTTTGCTACTGCAGCAGCAGAACACTGTTAAGCCAGGATTCGAGATCAGGCACTGAAGCTTGTGCAGCCTCTGTTGTAAAGCTGTTCCAAGAACTCTTCATCTCAGAATTGTCAAGAGCACAAAGAGCAGCCTGGTCTCTTAGAACAAACAAAAAGGGCCCAATCCTTGGTTGTTTTGTAAATACTGTTTTTACTTTGCTCTGACATTGCAACGGCATTGGAAAATTAGGCTGATCGGCCTAATTGAGGGCTTTGTTTGGAAGGTTGTTCTTGGGACAAAACTGAATACCCGAAGCCAGTCCTGCCATACATGTAAACTCCTAGCTCTTTTTTTCAGTCCAAGTGGCCGGTCTACCCTTTATGCCACAGCAGGCAATTGGCAATGAATTAGAGCAACTATAAAAGTTCTTTGTAGTGAATTAGTCCAGCCCCTGGCTGAAAAAAAGTACATCAACATGCATTAGTGGCACCTTTCTAAATTTGTGAATCATATCAGCACAGGTCAGAGAAAACTAAGGCCCTCCTAATCTTCAGGGAATTTAATTTACAAACAAACTGGTAAATACGCTAGATAAACTGACTGCTGCAACCACTTTTGGGCCAAAACCTTGTGGGTGACTAATGCAGGAAATGGGGAATGTCTCCAGGGACTGAGAAGGTGAAGTGCTCTGTGTGGGCAGGTGTAGCAGTTGGGATCTGGCCATGACACCAGTTAACACATGCTGTCACTGCAATGCTGTCTGAGCTTGAATGGCTGCAAGTGCCAAAGGCTGCATTTGCGCATCCCCTGTGAACTGGTATCACCTCCAATCCCTTGGGTGTCTCTGAACAGTGTGTGGCAAACCCCGATTTAGAAGAGGCAGGTTCAGAGGACACAATGGCATCTGCTAAATCACTACACTTATTTCCTGCAAGACCTTTATTTTCCTAGCCATGTACTGTACGGATCAGGTGACTGGGTTTCTGAAAGAAGGCAGGATGATGCAGCTGGTAAATCCTGCATGATGTGCAGATGTGGAATGTAGTCTGCGAAAAACCTACAAAAATTTTGAAAAAGTAAATGTGTTTTTACCAATCTGCTTTCTGCCTGGATGGTATCAGTGGAAATTATGCTTAAATACAGTGGATAGGCTATGACCTTGTAACTGCTGTTCTGCACAAAGATAGGTTTAATTTTTTATTCCTCTATTTCTGCAAGAAGGTTCTAGCATTCAAACCTACTGTTTGACTTTGCCTGTGTGCAAGACAGAAGTTTTGACACCTTACCAAGGTGATGCCTTAAAAATATATTAATTGCAAATTAATTACTATTAAGGTATGATACTCTGACACCTGTATGATTATCAGGAGATGAGTATATTGCTACAGTGCCATTGTTGGTTACCTAAAAGGCTGGTTTTATTCTGTGCCGCTTTTAATAATGGACATAAAATGCTGGGCAGGAGTGAAATGGGTTTCACTGACTAGACAGGATGTGCTGTTAAAGTCAGTAGACTGCAGGTTGCAATCACGGGGGTTGGTGTGGCTCTGGCAGGAGGGCGCAAGGGAGAGGCGAGGGGTCACCGCTGGAGCAGGGGCCGAACGCGTTGGAAGCGCTCAGGTCCTGGTCCCCTGGGCCTCTTAGGGCCCGGACCTTTGGCAAAACACTCCTTTGACGGATAACAGGGCTCGCCGTGCGGACAGGGAAGCGGGCCCTTAGGCCGCGCCGCCGGCCCGCCCTGCCCCGCACAGCCGCGGGGACGGGGGGCCCGGCCCGGCCCGAGCGCTCCCGCCCGAGCGCCCGCCGCGTCTTCCGGGCAGCTGAGGGCAGCGATCGGGGCGGCGGAGGCCGCGGGAGGGAAGGAGCCGTGACGCCGAGCATTGGCTCCGCTCCCCGTGCGGGCGGGCAGTGCCAGAGGGACCCGCGGGCGGGTGCGGGCCCAGCACAGGCGCCCCCTCTCCTGTCTCTATCCCCTTGTCCGGCGGCGGGGCCCCCGGCAGCGCCCGGTGCGCCTTTAAGGGGAGGCGGGCGGGAGGGTTGGCAGCGGCATTGTTCCCTGACGTCACCGCAGCCTGTGCGGCGGCGGCTGCTCTCAAACTTGCCTTTGTTATTCGGCGCTCCCCGGCTGACACCGCGGCCGCTCGCAAAACGCGGAGCCGGAGCCGCGCCGGAGCGGCGGGACGTGCCGCGCCGCCGGCTGCCCGGGGCCGGGAGGGGGCCGCGCCGCCCGCCCGGAGCTCCCCCCCCGCAGCCGCGGCGGGGCCGGGGAGGGGCGGCCGCCGCTCTGCCTCCGCGCAGCGTCCGCACGGCCCCCCCCGGCGCCCCGAGGCGAGCGGGGGGCGGCTGGAGGCACAGGGAGAGCGGCAGGAAGAGGGTTTCTTTTTCTTCTGGGGAAGCCAGGGAGGCGTAAATGAGCGGGGCGGGGGCCACCCCGGGGGCACTGCCCTCGGAGGGTGGGCGGGCGGTGCAGCCCCGCAGCCGCCGGCCCCGCGCAAAGCAGCGCGTCCATGGGCGGCGGAGCGGGGTAGCCCCGCGGGGTTACGGGCGGGGAGAGCCCCGGTAGCGCTCGGTTCCGGCTGCACGCAAAAAAAAAAAAAAAAAGGAGGAGAAAAAAAAAAGACAATCCTCCCCCCTCCCCAGGCGATCCGACATCCCTTTACAGTCCCGATCGTTCTCCTCCTCCAACAACAAGACGAATGTGACCAGCGAGGAGCTACACAGTGCTGTTTAAATTGCTTATCTTAATTGCATAATCTAACAAGCCCCGTTGGAGCACGGATGAATATATTAGGCTTATTAACAACTCATCATAAAATATTGATTGTCCTGGAAGTGTTTTATCAAGGGGAAGAGAAGTCGAGGGAGATGTTTTTTAGCAGATTGGTGCTTGTCAGACAGGGACGGTTCCTTCTTATTTTCTCCCTGGAAATCGGGCTGGATTTCCTGAGGAGCACAGGAGAAGAAAAAACAGCAGAAAAACACGCCCTATTGTTAGCGCCGGGGGCCGCGCTCCGGGCGGCGGGGGGGCCCCGGCCCCTGACCGCCCCCCCTCTGGCGGGGCCGCCTCCCCGGCCCGCCCCGCCAGGCACCGCCGCCCACCCGGCTTCCCCGGCGGAGCGGGGACCCCCGGGAGAACCCCGCTCCTACCTGGGTGGTGGGAGCTCCGGGCTCTGAAAATAACAGGGGCCCCGAGGGTGGCGGTGGTGGTGGCAATAAATGGAGGGGGTGGTGGTGGGATGTCTACAGCGCAGTAGACGGAGCAGCGGGATCTTTCGGCGTTCCCGTGTAATCCCCCTGCCCGCCCGGTAGTTCCTTCCATGCCCGTAAAAATTCTCTCGAGAAGACGACAGAGACAGAGGCACCTCATGTTTGAGAGAGTGTGTTGGGTCCAAGGTGGTTTTCCCCTATTTAATAATACAAAAACACCGAAGGGAGTGTAGATACTCTCCAGCTTTCAGTTTCCAGAGTGGAAGGGTTTCCAAGTGCCTGGTATTCAGGAAGACTAAAACGAGAATCCCCGCCTTAAAATACACTGTAAGACAATATTTGTATTTTAACTCGCATCTAAGATTTTTAACTTTGTGTGATTTGGGGAGTGTGTGTGTGTGTGATGCGGGGGGAGAGGGAAAGGGAGAGGGCGAAGGGAAGAACATCCCTGTAGGAGGCAGCTCCCTTTCAGATAGGAATCTGGGACAGATTTTGCCAGCAGCCACAAAGCATGGCCCTTTGGTAATAGAATAGCCAATGTAATTTGACACTTCAACTTGCTGTGCTCTCTGCTAGTTGATTCACTTACTCACCCACTAACATTGAGCTCCTTTTCACTGTCTGTGGGCAAGGGGAAAAAAAAAGGGGGGGGGAAGGAAGAAAAAAGAAAGCGGGGGGAGAAGGAAGAAAGGAAGGGAATAAACAAAATTATATATTTAAAAATACCCAAGTAGAGCTGCAAATCAGTTGGGGAGAGAGGATTTTGCCTGCCTTCTTCCTTATTATTTTGCTGCTGCAAGGCTGCTTTGCAATCCGTAGGTAAGTTTCTCGTCTATTTGCGCTCCCTGCTCGCACCTCCCCGTTCGCGGCCGGGCAGGGGTTGCGTCTCGGCGGAGCAGAAACAATGGAGCGGCCACGCTGGGGAAATAGGTGTACAGGGAGGGAAAAAAAAATAATACATATTTATTCTGCAAGGGGAGAAAATGTGCGGAGACTTCTTAAAGGGGCAGGCTGTCCCCACCGAGGGCGCGGGGCGAGGGCGGGCGGGGAGCCGCGGAGCCGGGCCCGGCGGCGGGGAAGCGGCTCTACCCGAGCAGTGCCCTTTCCGGGCCGGCCGCGGGGTCGCGGGGGGACCCGGCCCGGAGCGAACTTGGAGCAGCCGCGGCGTGAGGCGGGCGGGCGTCGGAGCCGCCGCAAGCACAAAGGGGGCTGCGGGGGCCGGGGCGGCGGCTGCCCCCGGCCGGGGCGAGCGCCGTCGGGGCGGACTGGAGCCCCGCGGCGGGGCCGGGGCTGCGGCTCGGGGCGTGCGCGCCCGGCCGGCTGTGTGTGCGTGCCCGGCCGCCCGTGCGGGGCTGGGGAGACGCGTGGGGAGGCTTTCGTCTGTTCTCCGGGCTCCGGGAAGCTTGCCTGGGTGCAAATTCCTTGTGTCTGGGTTTTGAGAGCCAGTTGGGACCGGGGCCTCTCTCGCCAGGCAGGAGGAAGGAGCAGCCCCCCTCCCTCCCTCCCCCCGGTGCATCTGTCCAGGAAGCCGCCGGGCGGAGGGGAGGGGGCGCGGGGACAGAGGGCCGGGGGTGCCCGGCCCGACCCGACCCGACCCGACCCGGCCGCCTCTCGCCCGCCTTTGTGCGAGGGGAGCGGGGGAGCCGCTTCCAGGGGCGGCCGGCGGAGCTGCTCGCGGGGAGAGGGGGAATGGCAGCCAGTTAAAAGACACTTCAGGAATGTAAACATAAAAATAGGAGCCATCCAGCCACGCTCTTGCCCCCCCCCCCCCAACCCCTCCCGCCCCGCCGCTCAGGATAGCACTCTGGGCTGGCGCGGTAGCGGGGAAGGAGTACGGCAGCCTGAGACAGGGGGGAGGAAGTTGTTACTATAATCGGGGTTTTAGACTGTAAACTTTGTTTTGCACGTGTAAAGTTTAATTTCGGTGCCGCCTCGGAGGCTGCGATGAGGGACACGGGGCGGCGCCTCGGGGGTGCCCCTCCAAGTGCAGCCCCTGTCTGTGCTAAAGGTGGAACCTGCCCGGCGGTGGCAGCGTGACCCTGCACCGCGGCCAAGCCGCTTTTGTCTGGGATCGCCGGGGTCCCGCTCGCCAGCCCCGGCAGCTGCACGGGCTGGTGCAAATCGCGGCCGTATCGTCAGTTTATCGAGACCGAAGCGAACTTAAGGCACAGCTATGCGCTGTCGTCCGATCGTGCGCCGTGTGTATTTTTGTGCTTCAGTTAATAATCTGCAAACGGCTTAATGGCTCTGTAGTGCCAGAGGAATTGGTTTTCTCCATTTACTTCAGCAGGCCTGAGTGAAGCTGGTGTTCTGGCTGCTTTTTTCAATGCATTGACACGAGAGAAGAGGATTTAACTTGGCAGCCTGAACAAATGCTCTATCAAAGGTTTCCTAAGAGACAGTAGGAGTGCTGGGGAGATGAATGACCTGGGGTAGTTTTAGGGTGCTACCTATGCAAGCTTTCTTTTAAATATGAAATGGCCATTTAGGGCTCTGAATAAAACTATGCACATCAGAAAGGAGACAGGCTTATAAAATTTAAAAGGGCAAAAGCCCATTAATGCTATGGTGAAGCTTTGGCTCCCAGGTCTGGTTGAGTAGTTCCAATTGCCTTGAAGTGCCAGAGCTTTTAAGGAATCTTTAGCAACAGCTTCTCTCTATCTGTGGAACGGACCTTGGCCTTGCACATTGGAAGGTTAATGGTGCAGCCTCTCCTCCCCAGGCAGGGGAGCGAGGGCAGCAGTCAGGCGTGAGGGCACCGGGGGTAACCAAGAGGTGAAGCAAGAACAGGAGGGGAAGAAAAAAACAAAAGCTCTGTGCTGGAATAGAGATAAAACATCTTACTGGTGGTAACCTGTTCAGGTTGTGATACTGAAGCAGTAACGTGGCACTGGGGTAACTCAAAAGTGTTACCAGCACGAGCAGAAAAGTTTCACAGAGGAATACAGCAAAGCTAAACACCTTTGGGAGAAGGATCCCTCTGACAAACATAGTTGGTCTCAGATTCAGAGCTCCGCTTCTCTTGACTGGGGGAAATGTACTATGGCATCAATCTTCTCTTGGCGGGGCCTGGTGCAGGTTTGTGAATGCCAGAAGACTTGCTCTGACCTTTTTCTGTTCCAAGTTGAGGATGTTGAAACACCAGCCATCAAACAAAAGAGACATTGAAAGCAAGATCTGCAATGGAGCACGTGTGACTTTGAGGCTAGCTGAGTGCATTTGGTGACTGTTTTCCTCGTAGTTTGGGGTGGGGAGGAGGAGAAAGAAAAGGTCGCTTATTTTTACAGTGAGGCTATGGAAAACATGACTTGAAATCCTTTAAGTATCCCATAGTCAAGGTCCTTTTTTCTTTTTATCTTTTTAAATGTTGTCTTAAAATGTCTTGATTTTTGCTCTTTTTACGTGTGTATCTATAACTGCCACATTACAAGAGGAGGATTATTTTTTCCCATGGATGCAAGCAGGACCAGGAATTTTACCGAATCCACTGCATTAAAAAAAGAAAGAAGCTTTAAAACAACAAAAAAAGTGTCTTTAGGATTATGTTTTAAAACAATGAAGAATTTCCTGGGATTGAATTGACAGATTTTGATTTTTATTTATTCAAGATAACACTACCTCAAAAGGTGGCTGATTTAAAGATTATTCTGTAAATTGTAATTTAAATTTACTTTGGGCTTTCCGAATTTAAAAAGAACCTCTTGGGAGCAGTTGGTGTAGGTATCTAACCTGCCAATGACATTCATGTCAACATGGACAGATGCTTTTATTGTTTACATTGTTTACAGTCCACAATACCTTAAATAAACGTTGATCATGATTAGAAACAATAATTGAGTCTGTGGCAAAGGATCAATGAAAACTTTGTTTCAGGAAAGAAGTGAGTTGCTGTGTATATGTACAGAGAGTGTTTTGTGCTCTCTGAGATGAAATAAAACTGCAATCTTAGTATGGCATTCAGTTCTGGTTTTAGAATATTTTAAGAAACCCACAAAAGATAATGGATCAGTTTCTACAACATTTGAAAGATTTTTTTCCTGATCACCAGCAGGTACAAGGAGTGGAAAGGAAAGGAGGCTTTGTAGCACAGTTCCATTCATAACTTTTCTTGGAAGTTGCTTGGCCTTTGCCCTACATCTCTTTTACTTTTATGGGCTCCAAAGGTTTTCTGTTGGAGAAAGAAAACAAACAAACCAACCAAAAACAACACCCCAAACCGTCATGGATGGCAGTTACATCACGGATCACTATAGTTGGTGACAGTGTTGGCTGGTTTTTAGCAACTTGATGTGTGTACTAGCAGCTTGGAAAGCCTGGTTTCTCTCCTGAAAAGGAAGAAAAGTAGATCTGAGAAAGGAAAAGGAGCTGGAATTCCTTTTGCCTTCCACGATGTTGTTGATAGGTTTCAGAATACAGCCTTTTTCCAGTGTCACACAGAAGATAATATGACTGAGAAATGGAGGTGGTGGCTGACCAGGAACTCGTGGTGTCTGCCTTGCTGCTCTAACAACGTGGGTGATTGAGTGCTGCAGGAGGATTGAGCTTGGATTGTTAGGGCTTTACCTGGGAAGCCTGTTTCTCATAAATAAGTAGGACTGCAGTTAATGCCTGTGGTAACAAATTTGACCACTATGCAATTGGCTGATTTGTTCGCTCCTAGTTAGACCAATTTTTGTGAAATCCTATCCTGTATTACAGCAAAGCGGTGAGAATATTGCTGAAGAGTGTAGAGTTGGGTTGTGCTTGTTCTCGTCAACTGCTTGTTGTGGGACAAGAAGCACAAGCCCTCTTTATCCAGTTAGGTCTGTTTTATGGAAGAGCACAGTAAAGAACACATCAATACAGACCATGAGAGATATACCTCCTGCTCAGATACTGTACACTTTCTTTCGCTCAGTTCATGTCTTCACTCAAAATGTATGTAAGTTTTCCTGCTGTCAGCCAAGTTGAGGCTGTCAGTGGTATTAGAAGTGATTTCTGCTTTAAAATGGTGTCTTTGGCTTAAAAACAAAAGGTTGTTTTGCCATATTGTTTTTTCCCCTTCCTCCTTCTTATTGTAGAAACAGAAAATTCTAATGTAGCAATTTTCAATTTCCTTATTTCCATTGGGGTTCATATGGTCATTAGCATTCAGCTTGGCTAATGTTAGAATATTTTAAAGGGAATATAGGCTGCAAGTGAAATGTCCAGGTACTGGTTGTAAAGGATCTTCACAGCTAGACTGTTGGAGGCAGTAGTGTATTATGAGAGTAGTAGATGGTCTTACACTTGTTACATGTTATTTTTGGTTCTAATAGTTTAAGATGCACTGAGGTCTACATTGCCTGCAAAGATGATATTTGCTGGCTTCGGTACAGTGTCTCTGTCCTTCCCTTTAGTGGAGCAGGACAGATTTCTATGGGTACTAGGTATCTAGTAGAAAAACCAAAATTGTTAGACAGACAAAATCACTTTCAATCTAATTTTGCCTGTAAGTGTCAATAGAAATTAAGTTACTCCACAGGGGATGACTCATTCTTAAAAGAACTTGCCCTTCTGAAGGCTCGCATAGATGATCACTTGTTCTGGGTTATCTATAATTTCCTTCAGTTGCTTATACTTCTTAGATCTGTAGCAGAAGACAGAGGAAGTAATTTGTACTCCTCTATTGAATCCTGGAACAGCCAAACAATCCTTCCAGCAGGTGATGGTTGATGCTTTTTAAAACAAAGTTTAGGATCTAGTGAAAAATCTAAGCTTGAGAAGTGTCTCTTGTCCTTTGCACAGATAATTCAATAGATCAAGCTGGTTTGTATTTTGTCTAGTGTATTAATATTGAG